ATATATTTTGCGCTATTCATCATATAATGTAAAGTTTTTCTACCGAATAATTTTAATCACTAACCTTTAAAGATAAACCTTGAAGCTTTTGATATTTTTCTGAGCTTGCTTCATACGAAGGCATAACGGCTAGAATTGCTTGATGGAATATTTGCCTTAAATTTTCCTTTGTGATCCAAGGCTCTTCGTTCATTGCATGATAAACTACTGAAAATGCAGTTATAAGTTCTGGTAATGCGATACGAAGAAATTCGAAAGTAGAATCATATAATGCGTTCATGATAATTAATTTGAAATATAATCACTTTATGTTTACGAAGCAAAAAAAAAATAATAGATTTGTTAATATCTTTAGATGAATTATTATTGATAAACAATTTAGTGTTAACAAAAGTACAAAATCATTTAGCGAATGAAAAATCCGATTGGCTGATAGAAAACTTCATTTATTTTCTAAACAATATTTTCAACATTTCGACATTTCACGAATTACAAATTTTCTTTTTGAATAAAATCGTTTGGGATCCCGAAATCATTTTTTCATCAAGAGATTTGGGTGATTTGCAGGACTTTATTCTTGGATCAATTTTAGAACAAGACAATTTACAAATTAGAGAATTAAAAGTTTGGAATGGTTTGATTAGTTGGGGTTTTCAACAATTGAAAAAGTTTGATAATAATAATAACAATAGCAATAATTTTAATTCTAATAGCATTAATAATACTAATTATATATATGAACTATCAAAATTATCGGCTAATGAATTAGAATATTTACAAAACATTTTAAAAGAATTTTTACCTTTAATTAGATTTAAAGAATTCTCCGGAAACGAATTCTACAAAAGTATTTGGCCTTTCAAAATTTTATTACCATTCGAATTAAGACAACATTTATTAACGCTTCAAATTATCAACAATTTTACAAATCTTGATAATAGTGGTAATAATAATAGTAGTAGTAAAAATTCAACGATATTATTGCCAATTAGACAACCAATCATCATGTGCATGAATTCAAATATTATAAACGTTCAACATGCTTCGAGAATTTCTTCCTGGATTAACCAAATTAGTAAAAATTCACCGCCATCACCATCATCGTTACCACCATCATCCAAATTAGATTTTCTTGATCATGATATTAATTATAATGAGAATAGCAATGATCTTGATCTTAATATCAGCAACGATAATAATAGTGGCATTGGTGATCGTAGATACGAGTTTGAATTTAAATTGTTATTAAGAGGAAGCGAAAACGGGTTTACACCAAAAGTTTTTCATGATTTATGCGATAACAAAGGCCCAAACGTGGTAATATTAAAAATACGTGAAACCGGTCAAATTATTGGTGGTTATAATCCAATTGGTTGGAGAAGTTTGGCAAAAAGTCGTTGGCAATACACTAGAGAGAGTTTTCTGTTTAGCTTTGGTAACAGCAATAACAACAACAACAACAACAACAACAACAACAACAACAATTTGGATGACCTTGATGCGAAAATAAGTGTAATTCAACCAGGTTACGAAGCTATTTATGATGATCCAAATTTTGGTCCTTGTTTTGGTAAAACTGATTTAGATATGAGAAAACAATTCAACGAACCAAATAATTGTTCGGCTAAAAAAACTTGTTATAAAAACAACATTACAAATAATGGTAAATTTTCCGTAGAAGATTATGAAGTATATCAAGTTTTAGCTCATTCTGTAAGTAGTGAAAATCAACGAATGTGCAATTTAATGTAATATTATAGACATACAATAGACTTAGAAGAAATAACAGTTTAGTAGTAAGAATAATTAATTTAATAATTTAATAATTTTAATTTTAATTTTTTATTTTGTAAATTTTTTTTTTGCGAAATATTTCACTGACATTTATACAGATAAAAAAATCATCAAGATCTCAGTCATCATCATCATCATGATCATCATCATCATCATCATCATCATCATCATCATAGAACAATTCAAATCTCAATCTCAATTTTAAATAATACAGTCATATCATCAATCATCATGACATCATCATGACATCATCAGACATTATCAGATAGCATCATCATCATCAAAATCAAAAAAAACTTTGTAATTAATTATACAAATCGCATATCATTTTTTTTTTAGAGTTTTCATTTTTTTTTTTTTTGTGTTGAAAGGTTTTAAAATCAATTCATAACCCGACAATCACATGATTTTAATGCAGTGTATCAAATAAATTGTCCAATAAAATTCAAGAATCTGTCTGTTCGTGTTGTTCACGTAATTTATAGGTGAACCAATTGGCCAGTTTTTACAAAATGTGTTAATAATTCGCGGAAAACAAACAAACGAAATAATAATAATAAATGAATCGTATTTCTCGTCAGGTAATGTTGTGCTAATTAATAATTCGGGAAGGCATAATATTGGACCAAAGAAAGAGTTTGAACTCTTTTTTTTCGCTGTTAGAGGAAATTACTTGACAAGTTAGTTCCCACTCAAACCCACCACAGATTGGTGACCATGATCGCAATTATAGACATTCTCATTAAAAGTTGTTAGAGCGCAACTGCACAATCCCATTTTGTATTACCAATAATGTTGCACCTAATTTATTATTTGTTTCAAAAAAGAAAAAAATCGGATTTTATCTTTTTCCAAAATAGTTTATTTAAAAATGTCATATAATAAGTTAATATCATTAATATTACCAGAAAGAAGAATGTTTGTAATTAAAATTCATAATGAAATGTATAATGATGCTCTGGCTAATTCTGATAGAGAAAGTAGAAAAAATTGTTTTTTTTCATTAGTCAAAAAAAACAAGGAGCTTTCTGAAATTGAAAAAGAATTTTGTAAAGAAGTTTATTTATGAGTTTGAATTAGAAAGTGTAAGAGATAAATTGGGTAATCCAAAAAAATGTGACAAGTGTAAATTGACAAAATATTCTGATAGATTCTGTGAAGGTTGTATTAGTTTACAATTACAGAATCTTTTCACTACTTGGACATCTGAAAATGACATAATCAATAACTTTATTCAACAATGTCAAATAAAATCATCTTTGCCAGGCTATATTTTAGAATGGATACCTTTTGAACAATTTGAAGATATAACAAAATTAACTGAAGGTGGATTTAGTTCAATTTATAAAGCTGCATGGACATGAGGTTATATAATTGATTATGATGAAGAGGAAAAAGAATTTAGTTATTTTGGTGCTCAACAAGTAGTATTAAAAAATTTAAATAATTCAAGTAATCCAGGAAAAGCATTTTTTGATGAGGTGAGGTTGGTAGTTTTATTTAAACAAAATAAATAATGTAATACTAATTGATTTTTTATTTAATTACAGGCAATGAATAATTGTAAAATTAAATCAATGAGGATTGTTCCTTGTTATGGTATAACTAAATTCCCAGATAATGGAAATTATGCAATAGTTTTAAATTATCATCTAGAGGGAAATTTAAGGGATTATTTACAGAAAAATCATTCTAATTTGACATTAAAAGATAGAATGGCAATTTTTAGATGGTTATGTGTTGCATTATATTATGTACATAAAAAAGATTTAATTCATTATGATTTACATAGTGGTAATATATTATTGGATGGAGGTAGTTCTTTTATCACAGATTTGGGATTATGTGGACCAGTTGATGAAAAATCATCAAATAAAATATATGGAATTGTATCATATATTGCACCTGAGCTATTTATAGGAGATAAGAACACAAAAAAATCAGATATTTACAGCATTGGGATGTTAATGTGGGAAATATTTGCAGGCCATCCACCATTTGATGATAGAGCTCATGATCATCATTTAGTTTTTGATATATGTGAAGGTTTACGACCACCAATATTACCTGGTATGCCTGATGATTATGTACAAATGATGCAGAAATGTTGGGATGTGGATCCATCAAAAAGACCAACCATTAATGAGCTTTGGCCATTTGCTGTAAATAAACATGAAGCAATTCTTAAAAATAATATTGATGATAATAATATTATTATTAGTAATGGTGGTGGCTCACAACAACCACATCCAGATGCATATCATACTAGTAGAATATTAGATGATGAAATTGCTAAATATAAAGGCTTAAATATTTATGCAAGTAGTGGTAGTTCATTAAATGATCTTGATTTTAATTCTCTTCTCTTAAACAAAGGTGAATTAACTTTTTCATTAATTAATTGAAAGTTACTATCATTAATTACTATTACTAATGATCTTTTTTATTCACAATTAATTAATTAATTAACATTAGATTCTAGTAATAATGGTAAAGGAAAAGGTCAAGGTTAAAATATTGATGAATTGGATAATTGATTCAGTTTATAAATCACTGGTTTGGCTAG